GAAGACATAATATCAGGTGAAGAATGGAAAGATTTACCACAAAGTTGTGATTCACCACAAAGTAGTGGTTCATCACAAAGTAATAATTCATCACAAAGTAATAATTCGTCAAAAAGTAGTATTTCTGATGCCGATACCGGTGAGAATATGGTTCATTAAATTAATTTTTGAATTAATAAACGTTATTATTTTTTTAACAATTTCTTATTAAATATAAAAAATAAACTAATTTAGAATCTAATAAAACCAATGGCGGAGAACTTTTAAATATTATGTCTGAGGCGTTTCGACATCTTTCTACCGAAAATCGTGAGAGGATTCAACAATTTCCTGATGGTTAGTGTTTTAAGATCTGTTGCTCATAGTGAACAATTTTTAACAGATATTACTTCTATACAGACGAAATGGGTCGTATGACCAAAGCTGCTGCTGCAAACTGACAGTGAATTTTATTACTGCCTGATATAATTCATTTATATTCTGGCTGGTACATAATATTTGCTGATTAACATATTTTACTTCCGATTATCTATCAGCTTATAATATTGTAACTCAATATAGATTCCATATTCTCATATTGACTTAAAAAAAATAAATTTATCTTTGAAACATGAGTATCGCTGTTCTGCAATTTATGTCAGGGTTGGGCAATCAATATATCCTGTGCTTTTTTACTAGTCTTTGGACATGGCATATATATGTGTAAATTTAAAAAATCAACTAAATAAACATTGTCAAACCTAGCGCGACCTCCCAAAGTACTGTTTATCTGACCAGATTTATGATAAACATAATAAATATTAACGTTAATGCAATTCTATTTAAAAATAATTAATTTTGTTTAAATTAATTTTCGAATTGAACTAGTGTCGTATATCTGGTTAGGTGCTAACACCATTGGAGTCGCCCTAGCTAATTCATTGATCGTGATAGATTACATCATAATTGAGAAATTACAATGTGAATAATATAAATGGTGCAATAGTACTGGCAAAACTTCAAAATGCCGGCTATTGACAAATAATAGTTAATTCCATGAAATCCAATTTACTGAAATTTAGGCTTGAATGTGTGCTAGGTTTGGGCGCAGTTTTACTGAGCTACGAATCAGATTTCAAGATCAGGTGCAACGTATCACAAATGCCCGTTTTGTGAAAAAAATCGCTTATTTCTCGAAATTCTACATAAGAAACCACTTTTGGTGCTGTACTAAAAAGTTTTTGTTGGGAATTTTACTATATGAACTACTCGTAACCCTAACCCTAATTCTAACAAAATGAACATAAAGAATTTTTGCTGTGCCACAAACCTAGCACACATTCAAGTAATGCAAATTGTGTCATGTGAAATCACACGAAATTAGAGATTTTTTTAGATAAATATAGACGTTGATTAAAATTATTAATTGACAATTCAAAAACTCAGTTATTATCCGGTAGCTTATTATGATTCGCCTGCCCAATAAATTTATTATTCGGCAGAAGTTAATAGTTGCCGAATAATAAAATTGTTATTGGGCAGACTATCGTCATAAGTTACCGGATAAATCCGTTATCAGTCATGAAGTTGCTTTATCCCTTACACCGTCAGGCTAATCCACAGTAAATATAAAATCCGACGTGGCTTAAAAGATAAATTAAAAACACAATAAATAAAACATAATAAATAATTATTACATATCAAAAAAAGCATTATTACCCAATAAATAGTTACGAAAATAATAATCATATATATCTAAGCCAACGTCGGAATTTAAACTCTCAATGTTATACAAAAAATTCGCAGGCAAATTTGCCTGCGAGACGGTGTAAGGGATAACTTAATTATTTGGTAAAATGATTTAAAGTCAGCCTAAGAAGTTGAATTCCTTCGGAATTCAATTTCTTAGTCTGATTTTAAATCTTTTACCAAATAAACCAGTTATCAGGCAGTGCCTGCCTGATAAGTGTACATTATTGGACAGACGACAAAAAATAACAGGCAATTTTTTTTTGCCGAAGTTAATGTTACTCCATGTACTGCGTAGCAGCACATGAGTGAAATTAACTCCGTTGAAAAAAAAAAATGACTGTTATTTGTCGTACGTATGTTCAATAATGATGTTATCCAATAGTTAATATGACCATGTGAAGTTTTTTCTGTGATATTTTGCAACTGATTACGTAATTTCATGCAAATAATATGGCAAAAAAATTCACATGATCATATGAAATGTCGGATAACTATTAATTATCAGAGTTGCCTTTTCAAATCGTAACAATTAATGTGAGGAGCAATTGACAAATAATAGTTAAATTCATGATATACAATTTATTGAAATTTTAGGCTAAATTATGTGTTGTGAAATCACATAAAATTAGCGAATATTTTTAGATAAATATAGATGTTGATTAAAATTATCAATTCTGTTATTATCAGGGTTACATCTTTTCAAATCACCACAATTAATATTAGGAATAACATCTTATCAGAATTATAATTACAAACTTGAATCATATGCTTAAAATAAAGTTTGTCTGTATTATTTTTCTATGAATGCTGTCAAAAAAAAATGCAAATTTCAAGCCTTAGACTATGATATGCCTAACAAAACTGTTCTGACTCATTTCACGATTTAAGTTGATTCCAGATTTACCTAGCTCATTCTTGAATTTTGAAATGATCTATGTTATTTCTCAATCAGTGAAAATTTTAAAAATCAAAAATTATATGCCCATGTGACAATTGTGCAATCAAGAAATAATAATAATTGTATTAAAATTCTTTTACTATAAAATTTTTAAATAAAGAAATTAAAAAAAGAATTATATTATTTTGTGTGGATGCGTTTTTGCACACCCCAAAAGATCTGGTGTAATGTGAAATCAAAACAAACTAATGACACATTAATTTAGGGTAAAGGTTAGCACTAATTTATAGTTAGGTTAGATTTTTAGGTAAATGCTAATTATATCCAAAATTTTGCAAGAAATTTTTTTTATTAAAATGAGAAAGGTGGTTTCATAAGCAAAATTATAAGTTACAAGCAATTTTTTCAAAACATCGCTATTTTTTTTTGATTTCATGTTATACCTGATCTTATGATCTGATTAGATGATCAGGTGGATGCATTACAACGCATATGTGCTAAATTATATAACTCTTAAAAAAAATATATATTGTAAAAAAATGTTTAAAATAAAAAAAATTAGCATAATTAATAAAAATGTGCAATACAAATAAATAAAAAAATATGCAATAAAAATAAATAAAAAATACACAATAAGAATAAATAAAAAACTTGTATAGTTAATAAAAATGTATAATAAAGCATATAAAAAAATTCGCATAATTAATAAAAATGCACAATAAAGTATATAATGTAAATTTAAAGAAAGTTCTCATTGATTTTTACATTCATTAACTCACAACAATACTCGAATTATTTCAGTTTGTCTTTTCATCCAGGTTTCTAATTTGGATTTGATGAATACCATTTCTTTTTTTGTAATTCTATAACAATGTAGATTTCTCAGTCTGCCATAGACCAATTTGATAGTAGACTAGAAATTTAATATCTTTTTAGTAGTCTTTACAATGAATTTATCTGCTATTATTAGAATATAATACCAGAAATTAAATAAGCAAGTTGCAACTTCTTCAGCTTCCTTATATTGTGACTGTTCCATATGTGAAAACCTGAAAAAATAGTTTCTAATATAAAAAAATTCGATTTAGCGTTAATATCATATCAATAGTATTTATCTACAAATAAACTTTCTAATTAATTAAAAAAAAAATACAATAATTTTTGTATACATATGATGCAAGAATCTTTCAAATTATTGGACAGATAGGTGAAATCTTTATAAAGGTTTGTCTGGTATAGTGTTTTGAACCATTCAACTAAAAGTTTAACCAGGGCTGATCCGAGTAGACTTATGGATATTCTCAGTCAATTGTTAATATTTGTTTACATTAGGTAAAATAGGATGTATCAATCCTATTTTACCTGATATAAACAAACATCAGCGATTGGCTAGAAATATCTGTAAGTTTACAAAGATCAGCCCCAGTTGAACTTTCAGTTGAACAGTTCAAAACACTAGTCTGGTAATACAAATTTTGCATTCACAAATAGCATCTTTAACTATCTTTTGTTAAATAAACAATACTATATAAAAATTTTTTTAAAAAATAATAATAAATAAGCAATAAATAACAAAATAATAATAATAATAATAAATAAGCAATAAATAAAAATACCTTTTGCTATATTTTGTCTTAACTGGCATGCTTCATTGCCTGGCATATGGCACAGATTATCTTATAAAAATTTTGAATATTTTTAATTAGTTTAATCATATGAAGTTCTTCAGCTGCACCAACATAAAAAATTTTAAAATTATAAGTTACCCAATATTTAAATTTTGGGTTCTATAAATCATTAGAGTTTTAAGTATAGCTAAACATTAATTATATTTATTTTGATTCATTAAATAGCAATTGTTTTTCTTTTGATGAATAAAATTTCTAATATTCAATTAAAGGTTTCATGCACCAGAAAGTTATAATGTTTTATTTTTAAAAATTAATAAGAAAAAATATGAAAATTGTAGTTAAAATTAAATATTCAATGATTTTATTTTATTTTTTGCATTAATTAATTTGACATAATATACTTTATAGAATAATGAAATTTAATAATTCTGGGTTCTAAATTTTTATTAAATATCGGTATCTAGTAATGCTTCTTCTATTGCGGCAAGGGTGTGACTTAAAATTTGTATGACAAATAAGTATTAACTAATTTATTTATATAGCTAGTACTTATTTGTTATACAAATAATTAGTCATACTTTAATCTTTATATTGAAAGAGTAAAATAATGATGGCACTAAAATTTGGCAGTCTCATAATTAATTAAAAAACAATGTTATCTTAATTTTTATCTAAAAATTAATGTTTGCATTAATTCAAAGTTGAAAAAACATATTTAAATTTTTGTGGCTGAAAACTTCTTACAATTAGATTGAATAAAAATTATACAACTGCCAAATTTTTGTGCTATCACTATTTCATTCATTTAAAGACTAGTACCTTATGAATCACCTATATGTGTTCTAGATTATTCTGAACTAAAAGACTAAAACAAATAAAAAAGATCTATCTTGATGCACTAAGTAAAAGTGTTGGAAATGCAAGTTTAACCTTAAGCCTAGTTAAATAAATAAACAAAAAAAATAAATAAATAAATTAAAAAAAAAAGAAAATAATCAAATAATTAGGCAACAAAATAAAAACCCTCTACAACTTATATATATTCACTTATATAGCTGAATATAACCAGCAACACAATATCAAATCTATGTGATAGCATCAAAAAACTGTATATGATCTTACAACTAGCACTATATTAAATACTTTTATGCCTAAAGTATATATTGATCTCTTAATAAAA